CAGGCACCGGGCCATCACATCAAGGGCATCGTTGGGGTGACCTGGGGTGGAGATGTACAGCTGGGTATCATCAGCGTACTGATGGAACTCCACCCCAAAGCCACGGATGATCTCTCCCAGCGGCTTCACATAAATATTGAACAGTAGGGGAGAGAGGACCGACCCCTGAGGCACCCCACATGTTAGGGGTCTAGGAGTTTTTATTGCAATTATGTATTGCTTATATTTTATGTTTCTGTATTCATATGGTTACTGTGTTGTTGTAAACCTCCTGGGGTCCAGCTTGAGGAGCTTGAGGAGCAAGCAAACAAATAAACAAATAAACAAACAAACAAACAAACAAACAAACAAATAAATAAATAAATAAATAAATAAATAATATTCTTGTCATTTATTCACAAAAGGTATCAGATTATTAACTTATTTTAAGAATTTAAAGACCCGAAGAAGATGCATTTCCCTCCAGGGAAGATTATTTTTTGGTGTCTGAAATGGTTTCAACTGGCAGTTGCTGTGAACCAATACAGATGCCAATAAAGGAGACTATTTGTAGCTCAGGGTTGAAATGAGGGGACCTTTATGCTCTCAGAGCTTGGTTGTTTTATTGCAGATATTTTACTACCCAAATAATAAACCTGCACGGATGATGTTACCTAATTTGACTAATGAAATGTCTGCTAGAAAACAACCAAGCTAGAGATCACCAAGGTCCCCAAAACAGGTATCGTTGCATGCTAATTTAGCTCTTTTTAGAGTTCTTCTGTTTTATTCAGATCCAACCGTATTCACCCCTTTCTGTCTTTGTTCTCTCCCATTTTCTCCCTCTCAAATTAATCTGAAGCATTTCTGAAAGGTTGAGAGTATGTTTGTTATTGGTACAAAAGGAATCCAATTGTCGCTTCTGCCGAACAAGGGACAGACGTGGCTTTCTCACCCGCCACAGAACTTGCCAATGCACAATGGAGGCACTTGGTTGGTAATTCAATTGTTTTCAACTGTTTTTTTCAAAGGCTTTTGTAGCTCTGTTAGAATCCCTTTATTGCCACATCTACATTTGGAGATCTTAGATAGCATACGGTAGTCATGTATTCAGCTGTTGGTCTGAGAATTAAAAATGTTGTTTTTTAAAAAAAAATGAAAAAGACCTAATTTTTTTTTCAAACAATGGTAGCATTATGAGAAAACATGATCAAGTGACAGATGCTTTAAATTAATGTAGTCACACTACTAAAGTAAATATATGCATTTAGAACTGAGCCTTCTTAAATGAGGGCATAAACGTCTGCATCATAAATTAAAAAGAGACAACACAAACTGTGTTGCATTCAGGACATTCCCTCTCTAGCAAAACTGAAGCTAGGAAAAAATTGTGTCATCTAATTATTCATATGCAGAAGCAATTAACCACAGGGTGTTGGATCAAAATTCAAGCTTCTCTTAGTTATAAATGTTATTGAGTAACCTGAGCAGCCAATCTCACCTATTCTTCAGGGTAATAGCAAAGAAACAAGCAAAAGGTCAGGTTAGGTGGAGTGTAAATATAATGAAGAAAAATGGACAATCTTCTTCTTTAACTTTTTTAACAATAAAAACAACTAAAGCTATTATCGAAGTATCACATATTTACCTGGGCATCAGAACAGCAAGTTGCCTGGCACCCGAAGTGTGCAAGTGAAACAGCGATGCAAAATTCCAGCAGGCTGAACAAGAGCAGCACAATGGAGAGGCCATAACCGACATTCTATAGAGTATGGAGACATGTGGAAAGATGGTTGTAATCTGCTGAGAAGTTAATGTAGCGGTACATATTTTATTTTATGTGCTGCACCATTAAAAGGGACTGGGAGGAACAATTGTACTGGGAAAAACAGAGACAGTGTATAGGTAATTCTCGACTTACAACCACAATTGGGATCAGAATTTCCATTGTTAAGCAAGGCAGTTGTTAAGTGAGTCATGCATAATTTTACCTTTCTTGCCACTGTTGTTAAGCAAATCGCTGCAGTTAAGGGAATCCAGCTTCCCCACCCCCATCGCCTTTGCTGACCAGAATCTGGCTGGGAAAGTCGCAGAGGGGATGCTGCAACTGTCCTAAATACATTCCGATTAGCCAAGCCCCCAAGTTTTAATCATGTGACTGTGGGGACGGTCGTACATGCAAGGAGTGGTCATAGCTTTGAGAGCCACTGACACTTTGAATGGTTGCTAAATAAACAGTTGTTTGTTCAATTAAAGACTGCCTGTACAGCCTGTGAGATAGGAGAAAACCACACCAGGGAACTTTAGCACTTCTTGTGCTTTGCAGCATTCTGAAGGGAAATTCCAGATAACACTGAGAATCAAAGGAGGATCAATCATATTTCAGAGCCACACATCAAGTTAAATCATTGCACAGTAGCACGTATTTCATCTGAGCCTTGTTTCTCCTTTATGCACCACAAAAAGCTGCTCATGTAGGATGAAGCAGAGAAGAAGAATCCAATGCTCAGTCTAAATCATTAGTTTTGCTGATGCAGAAATTCTCAGCTCTCCTAACCAAACCGGTTAAAGCAGGGGTCCCCAACCACCAGTCTGTGGACCAGTACTGGGCCACGGCATGCCCGCAACCGGTCCACACAAACAAGCAAAAGCCCCATCTGTGGGATGCAGGCAGCATACAAAACCACACACCCTCCAATCCATAGAAAAACCTTTCTCCACGGAACCGGTCCCTGTTGCCCAAAAGGTTGGGGACCTCTGGGCTAAACGATATTGTCCATGCGAGAAGGTGATAGCAGAAGAAAGCCAGATTGGAGCCTTTGTAAGAATGTGGAAGTTGAAGGCCCTGAGTCAGAGACCATGGTAAGGACATCCCATAATAATGTCAAAGGTTGCCTCCCAGCTGTAAAGGCCATAGTACGATGTACATTATTTTATCATTATTATGTGATAGCTCTAAGGCAGGGGTGTCAAACTGCCGGCCCACGGGCCAGATGCATCATAGAGAAACCGCGCCCACTCCATGGTATTTCAGCCATAAACTTTCTTAATTCTAGGCTCTTTGGCATTCTGCCGGCCAGGTGACCAGTGATCACTCTAGCTTTGCATGTCAATGAAAGATGCTTTGTTTTATCTGCAATCCCTCTGCTTCCTTATTTAAAGGACATGTTCCCCAGAACAAGGTATTCAGGTTATGATGATTCAAACACAGTTGAACACTTTGGGTACATGTTATCCTGAATTACACCAAGAGTCACAAGGGACAGAAGCGAAACCAGTTAACGCAGAGGCTGGCTAGTCCAAAGAGGAAAAGCAAAAGGCCTCCCCACTGTCCTAACATATCCAGTCTTGGGTGAAGGGAAATAGATTTTATACACCTTGAGGCTGTTGTTGGATGGGGTCAGAATAAGAGGAGAGGAAAAGACTAGTTTTATTCCAGTACAGGTAATGATGACTTAAGGCTTGGAATCTTATTCATGGGTTGAGAATAAGGTAAAGGTAACTTCATGGGAAAATTGGGGAAATTGGCATTAACAGATTATGGTTAAGGGCAACAATGTGATTTAGATTAAGTCAGTCTAACACAATGATGGCGAAACCTTTAGAGATTGAGTGCCCAAAAACTGATGGGAAAAGATCAGCCATAGTAATATGGCTCGTCACTAAGTTGCTGACAGCCGAAGTCAAATTTACTACCAAGCACTTTGAAAGCAACAGGGATGAAAGTGGGTGAGATCTTATCTTCTCTTTACCCTAAGTACCTTCTTCCTGTGAAAGCTCTTTGAAGCATCTTCCCCCTGTGAGGAAAGAGGGAAGGGAATTTCTATCCCACCCTCTAAGAATGGCAGCGTCTGACTACCCAGGGGAATCAAGCATTAAAAAGAACAATTCTAATCAAATTGGACTTACATGCTTCTGAAACTTGGGGACCCAAAAGTGTCCTAATTTTATTGGAAATTTTTGTTACTATCTACAAAAAAGAAATAAAATTGGAAAAGAACCTAGAAAAATTCGGGACTTAAAAACCTTAAATGCTTCTAGTGAATTCTTGTGGTGAAGCTTGGTATGGCAATTTGTTATTTCCTAAAAAGAGACTTGGCTCATAGCCCAGACCTAGATAAGACTTGTCTGACTTTGGCACTATCAAAGAGAGATTCAATTGTAAGAGAACAGCTGGGCAGTGAAATTGGCCTACTTGAGCTGTGAATGCAAACTCTTACTGACTTTTGCCTAACAAACAACTTTTACTGAAAGATTGTTCACAAATACACAAAAGAGATGGATGAAGACCAGAAAAAAATCCTCTCCATGCTAAAAGCAATACATGAAACTATCCTTTCAGCTTGTGAGAAAATGAGACCTAAAATAAAAGACCAAGATACCAGCTTAGATGCACAAAGTCAAATTTTGATTGCAATTGAAGAATCAACAATGCAGAAGATAACAGAACAAGTGGAACAACTAAATATTAAGACAGAGGATTCAATTGACCAACAAGTACAGTTGATGGATAATTCAGACAAGGAACTGACAACACTGAAAATGGAAATGACTTTCTATACAAACCAGAAGAAATTTGAGAAAGAAGAAGAACAAATTGAATTGAAGATAAATGTATCAGAGCAAATATGGGGGACTGGAATAACAGGGCGACAATTTAATGAATACAAATGGGCCAGTCCTTCCAGAAAACTGGCAAACAAATGGTCTCCTTTAATTCAAATAACATATATAAAAATGGAGGGAGATGTGTTTGATGATCTAAAAGCACTGACATGGAAGCCTGGTTGGCAAAGGAAGAAAGCTAGAATAAGGTTGAAAAATTGGGGTTTTGATTAATTAGAGGGGATTTTATATTGTCAATTAGAGGGCTAAAAGGAGATGTTGAGATAAAGGGAATTTTGATTATTAGACTCAAAATAGTTGGAAATTAGTGGAAAATAAGGATTTGATTTGTTTAATATTGAAAAATCAGACTTAAAAGGGAAATGAAAATTAATTATCAGGAATATGTTTGATTTATTGATTAACCCAGACAATATATATAATGGCTTTGATCTATCTAAGGGTTGATTTTATTATTAAGTAGATGGTTTATTATGATGGGAAATAGAAACTTTTTAGGGAATAGAATAAGATTACATTTAAATAGGTAAAATGTGTATTTTGGATATTATAGTTTGCTATGAAATGAGATAAGGGAAACTTTGGTCACCCAAAGTTTGAAAATTATGGATATTAAAGGTTAATTGGAATATTGATGAGAAACTAAAAATTAGGTAAAAATTTATAATAGGATATGGAGTGTTTTATGAAGATTAATTAAGATATGTATAAGCTAAAATGTATTGATAAATCTAATAATAATGATGTTTTCATTGAGTTGATACAGTTAGAAATGTACTAGCTTGAATATTGAATAGTAAATGTTAAGGGAAAAAGAGAAGTAATATTTGATGATGCAACCCAAGATTTGTACTAAAGTTTTGTTATTGAATTATTGATTAACCCTGTCACCACATTTTAAATACTCAAATGTAAAATTGGAAAACCAATAAAATATTATATATATAAAAAGAAATATTCAAATGAAATAGCACTCATGTCTTTGGGACTTAGACCTATTCAAGGAAAGATTTCAAACAAAAGTCAAAAGGTCTGCGATATCCCGGCAGCATACATAATCTCCTTCGGGATTCCGGACATGAAGCCAAAATTGAAGATCAGATTGGTTTACTTACCACTATACTTACATTGAGATATCCCTGGCCAGCCATCAAAGAAATAGTACTGATGATCATCTCACATAGATACAGGATGATACCAACTACTGCCATTATAGCACTTGTGATGTTCAATCCTACACTAGATTTCACCTGAAACAGCAATACACCAGGAGAAATTACAATTATGGTGTCAGCATAAGTCTTATTAAATGCAAAGCATAAAAACAATTAGCCCCAACTATAGTAAAAACAGTGACAGAGAATTCAATGTATGTGTGTGTTTAATGACACATAATCAGTCAGTGGTGAAACCAGACAACATCCACTAAAATCATATGGGGACCAGGGGAGGCTCCAATTCTAGATGGTTGAACATTCTCTATTTGTGACATAGAACTTTCAATGGAAGCAAAGTTTGGAAGCAAAAGTTGATCAACGAAGGAAGGGGGGGGGGCTTTTTAGTTTGCTTTTCTTTCCCAAATGTTGATTTAAGCTTGAGCAGTATCTGAAGATAATAGACAATATAAAGAGTGCTAAGTGATTATGAAGAAACAACATAAAAGAAATTCAAATGCTATACAGCTTTCTCACCAAACCCCGATTTGAACGGTTCACAGCTGCTACACAAAGTGATCCAGAAGAAATGAACTATGGAATAAAATAGAAAAAGATTTATTTTAGTCCACTGGAAATATCAACAGAAAAAATATCAGAAATTCCTGCAATGCAAACAGGACTTTTATTGGTATCCATTAGCCATTAATACCATGGGGCATGACTGAATAGGAATGTGCACATACTTACAAATATCCCTCCCCAAAAGGGGTAACCTCCAATTCCAGACAAGTTAAGGTAGTAAGAAGGAAAGAGACAAAGCGAGACAGCCCCAAAGCCAATGTGGATCAACCCAATCATGATCTGGATGGCCTATGGAAGGAACACACACAGCATAAGACAAATTCATTCTCTGAATCTGAGAAAGAGAAACATTCTAATTTGTTAGCACCCCTGGAAAAGCATCACTTCTATCCCTCTTTGAAAGGTCCTTAAAAAGGGTTGGAGCTTCTAAGCTTCCAGAGCAGATATTGACCCAAGGCCTGGTTTCCTATGGTGAAAAATTCAAATGGGGAGAAGGGACAGTTTGAGACACGATTCTCACTAGGTTCTGGACATTTACTCCAGATTATGATCTAGTTTCACCTACAGTGAGGCTGCTCTTGTCAGGAAGAAGGTCTGTATGAATATCAAGATGGGCCTTTGAGAGAGGAATGTCATTTCGCTCATTACAGACTCCTCTGCAAGAGGACGTTAAGCATGGTCATCATAAGACAAAGCAACTTCAACCGACTTGGGCCAGAGCCAATCTATGACCAAGTTCTTCTGGAGAAATGCCCAAGAGTTGCACTTCTCAGAGCAAAGGTAAAAAAAGATCTGTCTGAAACTATGGCTGAGCTCCATTTTTTCACTTAAACAGCAAAGCAAAGGAATGGATGTCTGAGTCAGAACGTTTGGTAGAAACACAAAAGAAACTACCAGGAAAAACAGAGGTTTCTGCAGTATATTCCAGAGCCAAACAAAACCCAAAGCCAAGTTCCAGAACTTCATCATGGGGCTCACAGGTCTCTACATAGCTCTAAAACCTTAATGGACTTCAAACAGGCACATAGCAAAGCATGCGTACCCCAAGCACTTTGGTCTCAGCACTGAGGAATCTCTCCATAGGACCCTTCTGGGACACTTGTTGAGGAGCACTGGTGGAAATTCCAAGTTGCTGAGCTCCATACTGAGGATATGGAGTTGCTCCAGATGCCTGAAGAACAACACCGGGCAATCCAGGGGCCGTTTGGATTACGTTCGCTCCATTAGAGGGGATGACAATTATGGTTCCACTGGCCATGCTTGCTGGAAATGTTGCCATAGCTAAGATACCTGCAAAGGAACAAGTGAGGAAATTTAATGTCTTAACATCAAGGAGGCAAAGCCTGGTCCTTGTCCTTAATTTTACTTTATGAGATAACATTTGCCTGCAGTAAAACTGCAGAAGATTGCCAGAAGGCTTCACAGAGCCAGGTACTAAACAGATGCAACTTTCTCAGAGGTAAAAATCCTTCTTTCCCCCACCATTCATCCAGAACCGAAGAAGCTTGTTGGATGAGAAGCAAAAAACTTTTTGAAGGAAAAAACCAAGAAAGTCCAGTTCCCTTTTGAAAAACTCCTTTGGGACAACCATGACCTGGAGAATTGAGAATCTCCATAGACAACATGGAGAACATTCTTATATTCCATTTTTATATTCCATTTTTCAATGCAAAAAGTGTCTTTTTAATCTTAGCACCACCTCAGATCTAAAGGCATCCAGCATGCATGATCATGCTGATTGTCACCTTCAAGCATGTTCATACCGATTTGGACAGAACAAGTTACTGTAAAGCAGTGGTTTCCAACCTCTGCGGCTTGGAGGCCCGGCTGGGAGGTTGGGGGGGGAGGGAGAGAGGGAACCGAAAAGGCCATGACCGGGGTGGGGTGGTGGGGGGTTGGGGACCTCTGCTGTAAAGGACACAAGAGCAGGGATCTGTATCCCAGCTTTGCTTCACCGATATGGTGAAGCTTCTTTTCAGAACACAACTGGAGCATCAGCCTGGGTCTCCTAACAAAACTCCGGACATCCCCATAAAGCAGTAAAGCCTCAACTTCCATCGACATCTAATAGGCCTCCGGATGTTTAAAACCCTGACCCAATGGCCCGAATTAATCCCACGGTTGCGATTTGTACAGACCTCAGGAGGAAGCTACTTCCTTCCTCAGCTTCCTTCCTGACTTGCTTCCCCTTGGAAGTCCAAGTTAAGGGGAGCTCCACCCACCCACCCACCTCTGAACGGCGAACTTCAAATATTGAGTCTTTGTAAGTTTACAGGGCGCCTGTGTGCGTATTGGGCACTTCCATCATGGCAAGATTGATTGCAAACTCTTTCCTGTCCGCTAATTCTCCTCTTAAATGCTCCCATCTAGAAGACCTTCGGTGGCTGCGTAGCTGAGAAGACCGCGGGTGGATGGCTGTGCAGGGGAGAAGCGGCAGGCAAGGAATTAATTCCATATTATTTTTTTAAAAAGTAACCAGAATCTACTCACGACAACCGCTCAGGAGGACACACAAGGAAAACGAAAGTAACTAAGGTAAACAAGTGGAAGGTGGGGTTCCGCCGCCTATTACGGTAAAAGGAGGGATTTACTCATAGCTTAATCAAAGAGTCCTGGAAAAAAACAAACCCTTCTTTCTTGCCTCTTTATAACTGTCGAAACAAATAAAGTTTGGGGCTAGGAACCTTTTGCTTATTCAGAGACGAGAGGAAAATTGTCCAAGTTTACAACATCCTGCCATTCCCAGGCTAAAACGAACCACTGAAATCAAACGCATCCCTCGACATTGCTTCCTCCCAATGTATGCAAGTCCCGCGCTTGAAGGAAACTCGTTTTCAACCCCTCGGAGTCTTCCACAACCTTTGCAGGAATCGCCAGAAGAAAAACACAGCCTCCCCGTCCGTTCCCTCGGAGCTCTTTACGTAGCCCTCGTCCGGCAGGAGAGGATTTCCCGTCTCCTCCGCCCCCCCCCTTTCCCTCCACCGACGCTCTCTGTAGCTTTCGCCTTGCCCTTTTTGGCCCTTGAAACAGGCAAAGCCGCAATGGAGGGAGTCGCTCCCAGCTTCCGACTGCTCTCCTTGCGGAACTCTTCCTGGGAACCTCAGAGGCCGCTGAAACATCTGGACCACCATATCGTTTGGGCACTAAGCAGATGCCAAAGGCAAATCCTAACCCTGCATATGGGTTAATCTATTACAGTGGTTCTCAACCTTTTTAATGCCGTGACCCCCAACAGGTCGTAAGTCGAGGACTAAACCGGTCATAAGTCCGGCAGGAGAGGATTTCCCGTCTCCTCCGCCCCCCTCCCCTTTCCCTCCACCGACGCTCTCTGTAGCTTTCGGCTTGCCCTTTTTGGCCCTTGAAACAGACAAAGCCGCAATGGAGGGAGTCACTCCCAGCTTCCGACTGCTCTCCTTGCGGAACTCTTCCTGGGAACCTCAGAGGCCGCTGAAACATCTGGACCACCATATCGTTTGGGCACTAAGCAGATGCCAAAGGCAAATCCTAACCCTGCATATGGGTTAATCTATTACAGTGGTTCTCAACCTTTTTAATGCCGCGACCCCCAACAGGTCGTAAGTCGAGGACTAAACCGGTCGTAAGTCGACTACCCAACCGGTCGTAAGTTGAGGACTTTCCCTGCCCAAGAGCGCCGCGCATGTGTGGTTCCGCCCCCTGCGCCGGCCGAGGCATAGCTGGCAAGCGGCAGAGACGGAGCAGGCCGACCACCAGCTGGCCCAGCTCAAGGGAGGTAAGGCACCCACCGGAAAAGGGGGAAAAAAATGGCGGACAATCTTGCTTGGCGACCCCCGTGAAATGGTCGATCGACCCCAAATGGGGTCACGACCCATAGGTTGAGAACCACTGATCTATTATGTTTCCTTTTGTGCTTATTTAAACTGAACATTTGCTTTTGAGTTGACTACTCCGTAATATATAGAGAAATTTCTGCTCTATTGGAGCGTCCTCTAGAGAGTCCTGATCCTCCTATTGCTAGTTTGTATTGGCCTGTGCAATGAACCTCTAGGCAGGGTGTGTGTGTGTGTAGAGCAGGTCGCTTCAACACTATAGTGTTTTGGAAGAGGAATCAGCTTCTGCCCCCCCCCCCCCCAGCTATGCTATTCCCAGATTTCATCTTTTTAAAAAGCTGCTTGCCGTTAACTCTTCTAGATGCCAAGATAATTTTCCTATATTATGATATTGGCTTTTCAGTCTTTAGTTCAACTCCTAGCAGTTCATGTCAAGGGGAAGTTAGATGGGTGTTTCAATCAATGGGATGATAATCAGATGTGTGCGCGCGGCAGTTCCAGTTACCTGACACAATATAATTCTGAAGTTAAGAAGAGGCAAGAGGAAACCTAATTTTTTTTGGGTAAAATAAAAATATGAGTTAAATAATTCCCTAGGGAACATAAATCTGTCAAGAAATTAAGATTATATAGCAACAGTTATCCATGTAAACCATGAGAGAACTGGAAATAAAATTGAATTATGAAAAACACAGACATTTTCAATTTGTGAATAAACCAGGGAAATGGTTATCTTATAAGCTGCAGAGAGGAAGAAAAAAAATGAAAATAGAAGAGGGAGATAATGTATTGATAGTCAATGTGGCTATATAAAAATTATCAATATTTAATATATATAAAGGACATGTTATTCCATTGTAGAAAACAACTGTGTATAAGAAATATACACTGTGTATAGAGTAAAGGAAACAAAGAAAAAGAAAAGATAAAGGCAAACGTTCAGAAAGAAAAGAGAAAAAAAGAAAAAAAAGCTTCCTATTTTCCTTGCAGCAAATATAAACATCATTACAAAACTATCTTACAAAAAAGGTCACTTTTTCCAATTTTTTTCCCTAATTGTCAAAAAGTCTAGCCACAAGTACATTTTATGAGCCCTGATGGTACAGTGGTTAAAGTTCAGTATTGCAGCCAAACTCTGCCCAGTCTGGAGTTTGATCCGGATGGGGCTCAAGGTTGACTCAGCCTCCCATCCATCCGGGGTCAGTAGAGTGAGGACCCAGATTGTTGGGGGCAATATGCAAATAATGCTTCAACATTGTAAACCACCCAAAGAGTGCTGTAAGTGCACCCTTATTCTACAAGGGGAAAAACTACCCAAATATTTTGGCACCCAAGCAAAGCACCAAGTTGTATCTATGATACAAGCCACATCTCCTAGAACCAAACCTTTAGAAAATCTTGCTGTTGTATCACTTCTTGTCTTCTTTCACCTGAAGCCATCTGCTTTACTGTACTATGTGGTGGGGTGGCGGAGACTCTAGTTGGATTAGGCATGTATTGATCTTTACATGACTTAGTTAGCAATGAAAGGGATATCCACTACCCCAGTGATGGCGAACCTTTTAGAGACAGAGTGCCCAAACTGCAACCCAAAACACACTTATGCATCGTCGGGTGCCGGGTGGGTGTGGCCCATTGGGTGGGTGTGGCCCATTGGGTGGGCGTGGCTGCTGTGGTAATGGCAGACGGTGGGACTAAAAAGTTCAATCAATCAATTTCAACTTTGCAAGATCTTTTTTTTCCCTGTGAGAAGTTGAAATTGACTGATTGATTGAACCTTTTTTTTTTTTTGCACTCAGTGGCGGAGGCCTAAAGCGAAAAGGTTTTATAAAACCCAGGTGAAGGCCTAGGACTGGGGCGACGGCGTGCGTGCCCACAGAGAGGGCTCTGAGTGCCGCCTCTGGCACCCGTGCCATAGGTTCGCCACCACTGCACTACCCTATTCAGAAGCACTCTATTAATTCTGTACAAGTTACAGAATGGAACCCTGGATCAAATGAAACCATTCTTTCAATTCATTTGACTCCACTCCATAACACTTACAGCACAATTTTCAGCATGTTAGTTCTCAGCTCCCCTCAGTGTAACTCACCACAAACTCATAAGAAATAGGAAATGGAAATAGAATAGGATTAGAAATATTTATTGGCCATGTATGATTGGACACACAAGGAATTTCTCTCCGGTGCATATGCTCTCAGTGTACATATAAGCAACAAGTGATAAATCATGATCATAATCACAAAATACATTCATCACAATTATAAAACACTTAGTGATAGTCGTAGTATACTAAATAAGTAATCAACATAAATCATACAAGGATACTAAATAAAACAATTAATATAAATTGTAAGATACAGGAAACAATGTTACAGTCATAAGATAAGGAAATAGGTAATAGGAAAAATGAGAAAGATAGTAGTAATACAGCCCTACTAGGTAATTTCACAGTGTTGTGGGAATTAGTTATTTTTGATGTTAGTTGTCCTTTTTAAATCTTGAGATATTATAGAACCTAGAAACTTGAAGGTCTCTACTGTTGATACTTTGTTGTCTAGTATTGTAAGAAGTGGTAGAATAAGAGGGCTTCTCCTAAAATCTACTATCATTTCTACAGCTTGACTGTGTTCAGTTCAAGATTGTTCTGACCCCACCACAAGGCTGGTTGTTCAACTTCCTGTCTGTATGCAGACTCTTTGAACAAAGGAACTGTTAGTGACACAATTTCAACTGAGCCAGATTATATTCAGGATATTGCCTATCAAACCTCAAAAACTGTGCAACATGTACATTTTGTACATTTGTAAAAATCATTGCAGGAGTCAAACTTTTCACCATGTAATACTGGACAAGCAAGCAACAAATCTTCTCTACAATTCCAATTGAGTCTCTTTAGGAATACACAAGGGATGGGCAACTCTGCAACCTTTATGAACTGTAGACTTCAACTCCCAGAATAGCTGAATCTGCCATGCTGGCTCACGGATCCTGGGAGTTGAAGTCCGCAGGTTGTAAAGGGGTCATTATTGCCACCCCCTGCATTTTCCCTCCCTAAAAGTATGAATAGCTTTGATTTTGGAATTGCATGTTTACACAATTGTAAACTCTTCAAGGATGCAGCTAATGAGTGTGTTTACAGCTTCCCATGTTGGAGAAGGGACGATAGTCAAAAAACCAAAAAATGGCAATTTGCATGGAATCTGTGTTTTTGATCAGCTTAAGTGCCCTAACAATATGGATTACTTTTGTTATAGGCAAACTTCTTCTAATCTGTTTTGGGATCACAGTGATTATGCAACCGCTATTACAGGTAGTTCTCCATTTACAACCAGTCATTTAGTGACCATTCAGAGCTACAACGTAACTGAAAAAAATTGACTCATGACCAGTCTTCACACACAGCAGCATCCCCACGTTCATTATGATCAAAACTCAGGTGCTTGGCAACCAGCACGTATGTATGACAGCATGCCAGGCTCAGTGATTGCTGTTTGTGACCTTCCCAGCTGGCTTTTAAGAAGTGAATGCGGGAAACCAAATTCGCTTAATGATCACGAGAGTCACTTAACAACCAGAATAATTTACTTAACAACAGTGGCAAAACAGGTCATAAATAGGGCACAATTCACTTAACTGCCTCATTTAGCTATGGACGTTCTGGTCCAAATTGCAGTCATAAGTCGAGAACTACAGGTATTGTGTCAATGATATGTTTTATTAATAGTTTGTGTTTTAATTTTAGTAGTTGTTTTTCTTTTCTGTAACATCAGATCTCCTACTTAATTCCATATTTGTCATTAAAAACCCCCCCATCTAGAATATGAACAGAAGTGTAATAAACAGCTTCCATCATCCAGTGTAGGAAATCTACTTCGTCATAAATACGCTGATGATTTGCAGCACAAATTCTTCTTCTTGGGAAGTGTTCTAGCTATTAAGTAAACTAGAAGAACTTTTAAATTTGCCACCATTTAATTTGGTGTTTAAAGGTTGTAATTGAAAAACAAACAAAGAAGCTGGAGGACAAAACAAGGTAACACATTGCTTCTCCTGAAACCTTTTCTGCAACACTTCTCACATTTCCTTCTTGTTTTACTGAGATTTGGTAACCACGTTATCATAGGTCGGTGGAGGAGGAGAAGGATTTAGTTCAGTTGTGCCTGCTCCATCTCCAATGACTTGGTAAGGCACAAAAAGCATGGTTGGCTGTAACAGAAAAGAACAGTCAATACAAAACATACTCAGGGAGGCACCTATTACTCTGGGTAGGAGGAAAAGATTCTCCAGTTGTGTGTTGTTAACTGTGATGCTGCCAGTCTCACCAACAGGCTGTAATCCTTGATAGCCCAAAGTCCGGACAGATAATTCTTTAAAACGATAAATTAACACGCAAATGATTTAGGGCCTGGGCATTTAAGTGACTTTTCCTGATCGAATCTGCCAGCTGTTCTCTGTATGGAATAGATGGCCTTCTGAAATCTGGATGGTACCAACTGGGATGCTCCCCTGGAAAATGGTAAGTGGTAAGAGAAGTGAACTGGCTTCTCCTAAGGACCTTTGGGGAATGATTTTATTTTGTGCATTAGTTTTTATTGCAGTTATATATTGCTTATATTTTATGTTACTGTATTTGTACCGTTACTGAGTTGTTGTAAACCTCCTAGGGCAGTGATGGTGAACCTTTTAGAGACCGAGTGCCCAAACTGCAACCCAAAACCCACTTATGTATCGTTGGATGCCGGGTGGATGTGGGCGTGGCCCCTTGGGTGGACGTGGCTGTGGTGGTAACGGCAGACTGGCTGGGACTAAAAAGTTCAATCAATCAATTCCAACTTTGCGAGATCTTTTTTTTCCCCGTGAGAAGTTGAAATTGATTGATTGATCCTTTTTTTTTTTTGCACACAGCGGCGGAGGCCTAAAGTGAAAAGGTTTTATAAAACCCAGCTGAAGGCCTAGGACTGGGGCGACAGTGCACATGCCCACAGAGAGGGCTCTGCGTGCCACCTGTGGCACTCGTGCCATAGATTCGCCACCATGATCCTAGGGTCCAGCTTAATTTAGGAGCATATAAATAAATAATATTGTCATGATTTATTCACAAAAGACATCAGATTATTAACTTATTTTAACAATTTGAAGGCACGAAGAAGATGCATTTCCCTCCAAGGCAGGTTATTTTTTGGTTTCTGAAATTGCTTCAACTGACAGTTGTTCTGAACAGATATAGGTGCCAATAAAGGAGAATATTTGTAGCACACGGTTGAAATCAGGGTAACCTGATGCTCTCTGAGCTTGGTTGTTCTTTTGCAGATGTTTTACTGCCCAAATAATAAACCTGCACTGAAGATGTTATCTAATTTGAGTAATGAAACATCTGCAAGAAAGCAACCAAGCTAGAGAGCACCAAGGCCTTCAAGACAGGCATCTCTGCATGCTGATTTAATTGCTTACAATATTTTTAGAGTTCTTCTGTTTTGTCAGGTCCAACCATATTCACCCCTTTCAGTCTTCATTCTCTCCCATTTTCTCCCTCACAAATTAATCTATTCTAAAGCATTTCTGAAAGGTTGAGAGTATGTTTGTTATTGGTACAAAAGGAAGCCAATTGTCGCTTCTGCCAAACAAGGGACAGACGTGGCTTTCTGAGCCGCCACAGAACTTGCCAATGCAGAATGGAGGCACTTGGTTGGCAATTCAGTTGTTTTCAAATGGTTTTTTCAAAAGCCTTTGTAGCTCTGTTAGAATCCCTTTATTACCACATCTACATTTGGAGATCTTAGATAGCATAGGGTAGTCATGTATTCAGCTGTTGGTCTGAGACTTAAAAATAATGTTATTTTTTTCAAAATGAAAAAAAAAATCTCACTTTTTAAAAAAACTGATAGCATTGCGAAAAAATGTGACCAAGTGACAGATATTTTAAATTAATATAATAACACCACTAAAGTAAATATATTTAGAACTGAGCCTTCTAAAATAGAGACATGAACTTCTGCATCACTGAATTAAAAAGAGACAACATAAATGTGTTGTATTGATGACATTCCCTCTCTAGCAAAAGAGAAGCTGGGGAAAATTCATGTCATCTAATTATTCATATGCTGAAGCAAATAGCCACAGGGTGTTGGATCAAAATTCAAACCTCTCCTAGTTATAAAGCTTGCTGGGTAACCTGAGCAGCCAATCTCACCTATTCTTCAGAGTAATAGCAAAGAAACAAGCAAAAGGTCGGGTTAGGTGGAGTGTAAATATAAAGAAGAAAAATGGACAATCTATTTAACTTTTTTAACAATAAAAACAACTAAAGCTATTATCGAAGTATCATATATTTACCTGGGCATCAGAACAGCAAGTTGCCTGGCACCCAAAGTGTGCAAGTGAAACAGCGATGCAAAATTCCAGCAGGCTGAACAAGAGCAGCAGACTGGAGAAGCCATAACTGACATTCTCTATAGTTGTAATCTGGTGAGAAATTAATGTAGAGGTACGTATTTTATTTTATGTGCTACAATATGAAAACAGACTCCCAGCTGCTTCCTGGGAGGAACAATTGTATTGGGAAAAACAGAGACAGTGTATAGGTAATCCTCGACTTACAACCACAATTGGGACCAGAATTTCCACTGTTAAGCAAGGCAGTTGTTAACTGAGTCAAGCATAATTGTATCTTTTTGCCACTGTTGTTAAGCAAATTGCTGCAATTAAGGGAATCCTATGGTTGTTAAGTGAAGTTTTAATTAGGTGACTGTGGGGACGGTCATACATGCGAGGAGTGGTCATAGCTTTGAATGTCACTGAAACTTTGAATGGTCGCTAAATGAATAGTTGTTCATTCAATTAAAGACTGCCTGTACAGCCTGTGTGATATGAGAAAGCCACACCAGGAAACTTTAGCACCTCTTATGCTTTGCAGGATTCTGAAGGGAAATTCCAGATAACACTGAGAATCAAAGGAGGATCGATCATATTTCAGATCCACACATCAAGTTAAATCATTGCGCAGTAGCACGTATTTCACCTGAGCCTTGTTTCTTCTTTACGCACCACAGAAAGCTGCTCATGTAGGATGAAGCAGAGAAGAAGAATCCAACGCTCGGTCTAAATCATTAGTTTTGCCGATGCAGAAATTCTCAGCTCTCCTGACCAAACAGGCTGAAGGACATTGTTCAAGGTGGCAGTAGAGTTAGCAGGCCAGATTGGAGCTTTTGTAGGAATGTGGAATTTGGAGGCCCCGGGTCAAGACCACGGTAAGGACATCCCATAATAATGTCAAAGGTTCCCTCCAAGTTGTAAAGGCCATAGTATGATGTACATTACTTTATCATTCTTATTCTTATGTTCTAAGGGTATTTAAGTCGTAATCTTTCTTACTTCTAGGCTCTTTGGCATTCTGCTGGCCAAGTGACCAGTGGTCACTCTAGCTTTGTATGTCAGTGAAAGATGCTCTGTTTTATCTTCAGTCCCTCTGCTTCCTTATTTAAAGGGACATGTTCCCCAAAACAAGGTATTCAGGTTATGATGACTCAAACACAGTTGAACACTTTGGGTGCATGTTCTCCTGAATTACACCAAGTGTCATAAGGGACTGAACCAAAAGCAGTTAAGGCAGAAACTGGCTAGTCCAAGATGAAAAGTGACAGGCCTCCCCCTGTCCTAACATATCCAGTCTTGGGTGAAGGGAAATAGATTTTATACACCTTGAGGCTGTTGTTGGATGGGGTCAGAATAAGAGGAGAGGAAAAGACTAGTTTTATACTAGTACAGCTAATGATGACTTAAGGCTTCGAATCTTACTCATGGTCTGAGGATAAGGTAAAAGTAACCTCATGGGAAAATTGAGAAAATTGGCATTAACAGATTATGGTTAAGGGCAACAATGTGATTTAGATTCAGTCAGTCTAAGATATATTGTTTCCCTTCATCAATAAGGATGCAGCTAGATCTATTTTATTTACCCAACTTCTTTCCAATCATCTGTTAGATTGAAAAGGGGAAAAACCCTGGATGTGATACTACTATAATTTAACACTCATAAGAAAACAAAGGACGGGACTTTACAAAATAGTAAAATATCAAGCTGTTGATCCCAGTTATTGGCATGGTTCTAAACTGTCCACACTTCAGAACTTATTTAAATTTCAGTTTTCTAAAACTCGTGTGGCAAATGCAAAGAAGGGATGAGGATGTGGGGGTGGCAGGAAAACCTGGTATACATGTACAGCTGTATTCTGTTCTATATCAAATTTTCAAACAATCTAAGCCAACAACCAAATTTTTACACTCTACAGAGAAATAGTCAAAAGGTATGTCTAAAACACATTTACCATTTTTTTTAAAAAAAGAAATCTATCCAACTCCCCACTCCCCAAAAAAAACACTGGAAAAGAAAGAAGATATCTAAAAGATCCTACACACTTTGTTCCTCAATGACCAGAAGATTTCAAACAAAACTTAAAGGGTCTGGGATATCTCTCCTGTATATATACTCTCCTTCTGGATTCTACACATGAAGCCAAAATTTAAGAACAGATTGGTTTACTTACGTCTAAATCTTCAGTGTTATTTATATAGATATGCCTAAAATTAGGACTATTGAAGATCAGCTCACATAGATACAGGATGATACCAACTACTGCCATTATAGCACTTGTGATGTTCAATCCTACACTGGATTTAACCTGAAACAGAAATGCAGCAGAAAGAGAGAAATTACAATTATGGTGTCAGCATAAGTCTTATTAAATGCAGAGCATAAAAACAATTAGCCCCAACTATGGTAAAAACAGTGACAGAGAATTCAATGTATGTTTATGTGTTTTTTTAAATGTTTTATTGATTTTTTTAACATAATCACCTTATTATTTGAATAAATAACAATTAAATATAGATGTTTTTCTAATATTTCTGCAAATAATAACCACATGAATATAAATATTCTTTTCTAACTGATCACCTTGATTGCCTTGTCATAGATCCTATTTACAAAATTCTTATTTAAATTTGTTTTCCCCACAATATTAAAAACATTCTTACTGGTTAAGATTTTCTCAAAATTAATTACACTTAAGTATTTAAGTTTTTTTCCTCATACAGGCCATTCTAACACTTTTACATTTCTCATACCTTAAAAAAAAAAAGAGAGAGAGAGAGAGGCTAGTGTATATTTATATCTAAAATGTTTCTCTTCTTTTTAACCATATTCAAACATATGTTTAATCTTTAAATGTTCCATTTAATAAATCTAATCTTTTAGATCTATTCAAAACATTTTTATCCATTGAAATTTTCTCAAGATCAATTACACTTAAGTATCTAAAACATTTCCTTTATATAAACCATCCCAACATTTTTATATTTCTCATGTCAAAAAACAAAACACAAAGGAAAATAGAAAGAAAAAATACTATGTTATTTGAGGGGCTCATCCCTCTTAAACTAAAATTCATTTATATCCAAAATCTTTCCATTTCTTTAACCATATTAAAACAGATATTTAATTTTTAAATATTCCCTCTGATAAATTCCATCATCTAATTTCTTAATTCTCACTTTGGCCTTCCCCCCCCAAACATTTTTCCTGATCAATATGCTCTGCTGAATCAAATAATCTTCCCATAGTCTTAATGGATGTTGTTGTAGGTACAAAAGGCAAATCAGGTTAAGATATTTTTATAGGAAGGTTTCGCCCTTTCCTAATCATTGAAAATCTTTTCCTTTCTTTCTCTCTTTATTTCTCTTATCATTTTTTGTCTCTCAAGTTCTCGTACTTCTGGCAGCTCTGTAATCCATTTTGTCAAATCTTTTTTCTTGGCCTCAGACTTATTTTGTAATCTTAGAGTGTAAGTTATCTTTTCCAAGTCCAATATTTCCTGCAAGTTTTTTCCCACCTGGCTTAAGTCATACTTCTTTCTATTGTTAGGTTTCATCTTTAAATGTCTTTCCTCTGGTTTATATTCAGTTGTCTGTTTTATCTGCTTGCTCTCTAGTTTTATTTCTGAGAGATTTTTTGTTGTCAAGTTAAATTGGAGATGTATTCATTTATATTTTCAAAGTTATTTTTAATTTCCTCGTGGTTTGAGATAATTGTTGTTTGAATAAGTTGCAACATAGCATATATCTCCTCCTGGAAAGTATTTTTTCTTGGTATATTCTTCCTGCAGATCTCTGGTTTTCCATGATAGCCAAAAATCAGGATTTCCTTTCTCTGCGGACAGCTTTAGAGTCACAGATGAATAGGTATTTATAATCCAGAAAGGTCAATTTTTTTTCCTCTAAAGTTTATAATTCTCCCTGTCAAGCCTCTGTGGACTCGACACTGACGGGAGGGGAAAGGGAGCGAGAACAGCGTCTAGGGCGTCCTGGTTTGGCGGAGGCCAGCGACCAAGGGCGACAGCCTTTCCCTCTCCCGTTACCTGGACTGTCGACGGGCAGAGCCTAGCAGCGTGGCCATCGGCTCAGCGGTCATCCTGCTGAACAGCTGACCTTTTCCGCGGCCAGCCCGCCAAACATCTGTTCGGCGCAGGGAAGCAACAGGATGCCGGAAGCTTGCAGCGCGGCCTGATGAGCAGCTGATCGGCAGATCAGCTGCAGCACGTTCTGCCTGGCTACTTTTATCACCTCGCATACCGGATGCTGGTTAGGTGGGTGGGGGGTGGGGCCCGGCTGGGAAATGTATATGTAAGGTGCTGGGAGGTGACTGCTTCCAGCGCTGACTTTGCTTGTTGTTTATATGACTAAATGCATGCCAGAAGTTCCGTGATTAAATCTAACCACCTGTGAACTCACCAACTCGTGTCTTCTTGGAGCCAGGCGTGTGGTAAGGACTCCTGACACTCGCTTTGTAGGTAGCCTAAAATGTTTTCTTTTTTTGTCACAGCTGTTCTCTGTTATTAAGACATTGAAGGTCACCAAAACAAGTTATATTTTCCTGGGCTTTGCCAGTTCCTCTATTGGAGCAACTACTGTTGTATATTTTCATCCACCACTAGATGTCAGCACCAGTTCATTTTTCAGTTTTCAAAATAAACAATTGTTTTCTTCTATTTTCATGATTTAAAAGGGAAATCTTAACAAATTCCACCAATTTCAAACATATCCAGATTTAGGTTTATATTCATTTCATTTCAGCATATTTCTGTCCCCCCTAAAAAGTTTAATTTGCCACTTCTGTCAGTAGGAAGGTGGGGCAAAGATCCCTCTCTTTTTCACTTTCAGAGGCTTTTTGCTTCATGGGTTGTTGTTTTTTTCCCCAGGAAGTCAATTATCAAGTAGAAGAGAGAAAATCACTGTTCTTACTCGGTTCCAAGCATGTTGTTTACAGTCAGCTTAAAATAGTGCTTTTGGGCTACAGCTGCTTGTAGCTTGGGCTAGACTCTGAAGTTAAGCTAGCCTTTCTCCTGCTGGTTTCTGGAGGGCTTTTCCCAGACCGATAGGATCGACCATCTCTCCGTGATCGACGGGATTTCCCTCCTTCTTTGTTGCCTCTCCAGGGCGACTTCAGGCCCATTTAGGGTCCCCTAACAGGCAGAAATTGGCCGTAGAGTGCAGAGCACCACGATCCCTCGGCTGCTGAGCTACTGCACAAAACCGGAAGCATGTATGTGTATGTTTAATGACAAGTAACCAGTCAGTGGTGAAACCAGGCAACAGCCACTAAAATCATAGGTATCAAACAGCAGCAACAATAGGGTTTTCCACAAATGAAAGGCAAATACCACAATTCATTTGAAGGCTTTTCTAACACTGTCAAATTCCTTCTCTCTGTTTCTGGATGTGAGCCTCTATTGAAGGCCAGGTGGTTAACAGTGACAGGAAAACTGGTAAGGTTTATTCACCCAATAACATTCTGGTAAAGAAAGAAATCCCACACTTTTTATTCTAGGACACAATGCACTCTAAGCATTAAATGTCAATGTTAAATGCTCTTCTAGCTATACAACATTACAGAGAGGCAACTAGAGAGATGGGAATGGAGAAACCCTTGGAATCATTTGTGAGAATTCTGAACATTCAAAAATTGCTCTGTTTTTAGTTCTCCCCTGTCAGGAATGTAGTATCTTTCTATCAAGATGGTTGTTTTTCTTCTCTTGAATCCACACTATATTCCTTTACAAGACAAACCATTTCTGTGTTGCCCTGAACACTTTAAACCAAGGAGAAACAGGAGAGAAGAAAGCAAGCTCTTTGCAGGAGGGCTACCATCAATTCTCTCCTCTCTTTAATTCCCAGGATGAGACCCACACTTGTTCCATACTTTTACGCCTAATACACTGAGCTTCTTTCTAATGTTGCTTCCATGTAGGACTATTGCTGAAAAAGGAACCTCTGTCAACGTGGAGGAGGAGAAGGAGGAGGCGGCATGTTGGCGGTCTGGTTCAAGACTAGAGAATGCAAGGACTAAGGAAGCTCTAGTAGAAGAAGCACCCACGTCATGGTCATTGACTCTCTCAGGCTTCTCTCATTTTCGTCATGGTACTGACAGGACCTGCAGTGTTGCAGGTTGCACCTCAGGAAGGGAACTTGGGAAGAAGCCCATCGCAAAATGGGGACCAGGGGAGGCTCCAATTCTGGATGGTTGAACATTCTCTATTTGTGACATAGAACTTTCAATGGAAGCAAAGCTTGGGAGCAAAAGTTGATCAAAGAAGGGGGAGGTTAGTTTGCTTTTCTTTCCCAAATGTTGATTTAAGCCTGAGCAGTATCTGAAGACTATATAAAGAGTGCTAAGTGATTATGAAGAAACAACATAAAAGAAATTCAAATGCTATATAGCTTTCTCACCAAACCACGATTTGGACGGTTCACAGCTGCTACACAAAGTGATCCAGAAGAAATGAACTATTGGAAAAAGAAACAGAAAAACATTGACTTTAGTACAATCTGGCCCCCATGAGAAGCCAGGGAGGCTCCAATGCAAACAGAATTTTTATAGGTATCTGTTAGCCATTAATACCATGGTGCATGACTGAATAGAAATTTGCACATACTTACAAATATCCCTCCCCAAAAGGGGTAACATCCAATTACAGACAAGAAAAGGTAGTAAAAGGGATACAAAGTGAGACAAATTGCGACAGCTCCAAAGCCAATGTGGATCAACCCAATCATGATCTGGATGGCCTACGGAAGGAAAACACACAAAATACGAAAAATTAGTTCTCTGAATCTGAGAAAGAGAAACTTTCTAATTTGTTAGCACCCCTGGAAAAGCATCACTTTCTATCCCTCTTTGAAAGGTCCATGAAACGGGTTGGGGCTTCTAAGCTTCCAGGGTAGGTGTTGACCCAAGGCCTGGTTTCCTATGGTGAAATATTTCAAATGGGGGGAAAGGGACAGTTTGAGCCACCATTGTCACTATGTACTGGACATTTCCTCCAGATTATGATCTAGTTTCACCTACAGTGAGGCTGCTCTTGTCAGGAAGAAGATCAGTAAGAATATTAAGATGGGCCTTTGAGAGAGGAATGTCACTTCTCTCATTACAGACTCCTCTGCAAGAAGAGCATGGTCATAAATACAAAGCGACTTCAAACGGCTCGGGCTGGAGCCAATCTATGACCAAGTTCTTCTGGAGAAAAGCCCAAGAGTTGCACTTCTCAGAGGGAAGGGGAAAAAAGAGATCTGGCTGAGCTCCACTTTTTCATTTAAAGAGCAAAGCAAAGGAATGGATGTCTGAGTCAGAATGTTTTGTAGAAACACAAAATAAACTACCAGGAAGAGCAGAGATTTCTGGAGTATATTACAGAACCAGACAATAGCCAAGCCAAGTTCCAGAACTTCAACATGGGGCTCACAGGTCTTAATGGACTTCAAACAGGCATATAGCAAAGCATGCGTACCCCAAGCACTTTGGCCTCAGCACTGAGGAATCTCTCCATAGGACCCTTCTGGGAGACTTGTTGAGGAGCACTGGTGGAAATTCCAAGTTGCTGAGCTACATACTGAGGATATGGAGTTGATCCAGATGCCTGAAGAGCAACACTGGGCAATCCAGGGGCCATTTGGATTATGTTCGCTCCATTAGAGGGGATGACAACTATGGATCTAGTAGCCATGCTTGCTGGAAGTGTTGCCACAACTCAGTTACCTGCAAACAAACAAGTGAAGAAAGTTAATGTCTTCACACCAAGGAGGCAAAGCCTGGTTCTTCTCATTAATCTCACTTTATGAGATAACATTTGCCTGTAGTAAAACTGAAGATTATTGCCAGAAGGCTTCAAGGAGCCACATACAACTTTCTCAGGGATAAAAATATTTCCTTTCCCCACCATTCAGCTGGAACCAAAGAAATTTCTTTGTTGAGAAGTGAAATGTTTTCAAGGGAAAAAAAAAAACTCCAGTTGCCTTTTGAAAAGCACCTGTGGGACAACCATGGCCTGGAAGATTGAGAATCTCCATAGACATCAGGGAGAAAAAGTTAATGAGAACATAGTGAACCTGTTTATTATTATGACCCAGGGGGTCAAGGCAAAGCAGCCTCTAGAGAGTTCTTTATTTCTCTTAGCAAATATTCCAGCCAATGGCCCTCCTACAACCGGTAAGTCTTCACCCTCCGTATAATCCTCCCCCCCTTATATGTACCTTAGGAGCATGTGGTGGGGGGATAGATAACAACACACGCACAAAGGGAGAGAGTGGAGGAAGGGAAGGGAAGCAAGTCGCAACTGCGAAACATTTGCAGACGACACCAAGCTGGCAGGAATAGCCAACACTCCAGAAGACAGGCTTAAGATACAGAAGGATCTGGACAGACTTGAACACTGGGCACTATCTAACAAAATGAAATTCAATGGTGAAAAAAGCAAGGTTCTACATTTAGGCAAGAAAAACCAATTGCACAAGTACAGCATAGGTGGCACCTTGCTCAATAG